ACACAGTACCAGAAACCCTGAAAAGTGAGGTGAGCAAGGCATGGAACAGGGGTCCCCCAGGTGCCCATTTCCCATCACCTAATGAGCACTCTCAGACCTTAAAAACTTGGAAAGTGCTATGTCCACCCCAAGGTCTACTCACCACTCACAAAAGAAGGCCAAAGAACTTTCGTTAACACAGCCTAATGCAGAAACGTCTATTAGCTGCAATAATATTAGCTTATGGTTCCAGGAAAGCTTTGAAAAACCACCCAACTCATATTCAATGGGTTACTCCTCTTTCTCAGTGTCGGACAACCAAAAAAGAACAATTTCATCTAATTAAGCAGTTTTTCCTCCAGTTCTCTGTTTCCATTGTTTATTCTGGCTTAGCTACTTGAAGATTTCCCCTTGCTTTCACGCAATCCATGAAGAGACATTCCAGGCCCTAAACTAATTGGTTGTTATACAGACAAACCAAACCCGGTCCCCCTGACCCAAACGGAGCTGTGTGTACTGTAAGTTCAGCAAAGCCAGCACCACTGGTGGCGGAGAGACCGTACTGCCCATCAGCCTGTGACACCGACAGGAACACAAGGTCTGCTCCAAGACTTACACTTTGAGGCCAGGGGAGTCTTCCGTGTAGAACCGCCACATCCCCCCAGTGCCTGCTGAGGTCGTGCGGCCCGCGCTCCTTGTTCCGCAGCTGGCATTTTTCCTGTCAAGAGAAAAAATGTTACAAACAGTCTTTTGGGGGGGAACCCTTTTAATGGCATTATAACATCTGCTACCATTACATTGTTAAAGAACCAAAATAAGAAAAAAAAACACTTTCTTTTGTGAGTACACCCCTAATTCTTGTTTTCACCCCATGGGTCATGATAACTACCATGAACTGAGTACCTGCCACATGCTAATGCACACACTAACCCTGGAAAGCAGTTACCAGTTCTGTTTTATAAGAGGAAAATGAGGCTCAGAAAAGGTTAAGCCAAGTGTCCGCCTAAGACCACACAGCCAGCCAGCAGGTGGCCGAGCTGAGCTGAGGACCCAGTTCTGACTCCAGAGCCCATCCTCTTGCCCAACCATATGGCACCTCACTGGGACAATGCACTTCAGTTTCTCTTCACATGCATTTTTTTTAAAAATATATTTTATTGATTTTTTACAGAGAGGAAGGGAGAGAGTTAGAAACATCGATGAGAGAGAAACATCGATCAGCTGCCTCTTGCACATCTCCTACTGGAGATGTGCCCGCAACCCAGGCACACGCCCCTGACCGGAATCGAACCTGGGACCTTTCAGTCCACAGACCGACGCTCTATCCACTGAGCCAAACTGGTTTCGGCTCTTCACATGCATTTTTGTGAAGCCAAGTAACAAAGCTCTGCTCTAAAATGCCCGGAATTTACATACAATCAACCTCTGAACAACATGGGTTTAAACTGTACTGTGTGGGTCCACTTACACGAGGTTTCCCCCCAATACCATAAATGTATTCTCTCTTCTTTATGATTTTTTAAATAATATTTTCTTTCTTCTAGCTTGCTTTATTGTACAGTATATAACATAACAATATAGAAAATATGTGTTAATCAACTGTTTATGTTATCGATAAGGCTTCTGGCCAACAGTAAGCTATTATTAGTAGTTAAGTTTTCGGGGGAGTCAAAATTATATGTGGATTTTTGACTGCAGGGGAAAGGGGAGTGTCCCTAACTAACATCCATTTTGTTCAAGGGTCAACTGTAATCTGACTTAAATTGCCTTAAAATGTTTTAAAATTACTGTATTTGCTACAAAAGAGACAAAAATATTAAGCTGTAATTATAATCCAGGTCCCAAAATGGAACATATATTTTACCAAAAACATCATTCTGTAGTCTGTTTTCACTATTTTGATATGCCATAAATCTTGGACAGAGGTAGGATATGAAAAATGGAGAAAACACCCAACTAGAACTTATCCTTCACAGGAGACCAAGGCTGGTGAGATGAGCTATGTGATGGAGGCAGCCCTCGCATACAGAAGGCGCTGGACAGCACTGACACAAGCACTGCCACCAACAGGGGGGAAGCCCTTTCCCTCCTCTCCTCAGTCACTGGGGAGGCCCACCCAACAACCACCCTTCCACCGAGCACGGCTCCCCCACTTCTCTCCCTGTGCTGGACTGCTACAGAGCGAGCGTAAGCAGGAAGCATGAGAACTCAGAAGACATCTTCAGCCCACTCCTAAGAAATCCTCGGGAAGAAAAGGAAGAGAGGGGACGCCTGCCCCATTACTGCCCCTATCATTAACCAAACCCCAGCACACCCTTCTGTAAAATCCCATCCCCGTTATCTGTGGGCTACTGATTCTAAATTTCTGAAAAGGAAAACTTGTTTACGATCTGCCACAAAGAGAGAAAACAGTAGTGAAAACCTTATCCCTACCATCACTTTACTAGGTGTACCGGTTAATAATGCGGATTTTTTCAGTAGATGGAGTTACACAGACGTTGATATATATGCAATTTGGTATGTATGCTATTTTGTTGTATTGCTCCTTCAGATTCCCCCTTGTCCCGATTGATGGCACACGCACTTTCTGAGCAGCACTTCAAAACGTACGAAGAAGTGGAAAATTGGGTCTCTGAATGGTCTGCCTCAAAACAAGAAAAGTTCTATTGGGACAGTATCCACAAATTACCTGTAAGATGGGGGGAAATGTGTAGCTAGCGATGGACATCACTTTCAATAAAAAGCAATTTTTATGTTTCTCTTGAAATTATCGTGCTTTCTTTGATTACAAAATCCGCATTATTACAGTTAATGCGTAACCGGTTAATAATACGGATTTTGTAATCCAAAGAAAACACGATAATTTCAAGAAAAACATCACAGTGATATCAGTACTTTCAATGAGCTGAAATCCGTCTCTGCTAAGTTCACATTATTCGTTTTACATGTACCTACTATAGCCAACAAGAAAAATCGCGTCACTCTTCACATCCTTACGAATCATTTTCTTGTAGCCCTTCAAGGTGTTTCCCTCTCTACGTAAAACCCCACTAGCTCCTTCAAATATCTGAAGACAACAGGGTTGCTTGATTCCTTCCTTCATTGAACAAAATGCGTTGGGAGCAAAAGGGAGGAGTAACAGCTACTGCTACTTTTGGAGTCAGGGAAGGCCTCCAAAAACCTCTGAGCTTAGTCCCAGGAGAATAAACAGAAGCTGTGTGTGGGGAGAGGAAGGGAGGTTCAGAACACAGTAGTAAGTTGACTATTGCTGGGTCCCAGGAGCCAGGGAGAAGGGAAGCTGATGGACAGGAGAAAAAAAAAAGTCACCAAGAACCTCGCTATCCGCCCCCCTCACCCTGTTTTTAAAAAAGTTCAGCAAAAAGCAACTAACAGAGAAACTAAGCAGAAGAGTGACAGAACCAGAGCACACGAGGGACTGGAGTGGAAGGGCCTGGAGAGAGGAAGAGTAGAAAATGCAAGAGTCTAGACGAGAAGCTGACGGCCAAACCGGGGCGGTAGGAAGAGAGACGCAAAGAAGTGATGAGCAGCAGGTTTTTGCGTATAATTTAAAGTCCGACAAATGACTGGCCAGGGATAGGGCCTAAGAAAAAACCCACGATGACGCTGAAGTTCTGGCTCTGGGTGAAGGCGCATAGAGCAGAGCCACATGTACCCGTAAGTTAAGCAACGCGCCTGGGGGGTGGGGGCTGGGATGATCGGGGACAATGAGCTGGACAAATCTTGTTAAACTGACGGAAATGTGAGTGCAAAGGTCAGGTCCAGAGAGTCAGTTCAATGACACCCGTTGTCTCTGCCCCTGTTTACCTGTGCAGTGAGAATAAAATGTCACTCCCTCTCTAGACACAAAGACCCAAAGGCCGCTGCTCCCACGGCCACGTCACCGGAGGCCCACCTTGTCTTCGTGAACCGTAACATTCTGGGCGACCTTCTCAGGACCAGCGGGTTCTTGGGCCCCCTTCCTCCCGGCCCACAGCCAAGGGGGTCACGGGGATCCTTACCTCTGCCGGACCGTGCTACCCGCCGCCCGGGCGGCCACCGCTTTACTCGGGGAGCGTCCTGAGGAGCCCACGTTGGTGCCACTGGGGGTCGGGCCAGGCTGCGGAGGGCGACAAGGAGACAGACGGGTGAGCGCCGCCCGCCGGCCCCCAGACCCCAGTCCCCGACAGCCACGACTGGCACCCGCACTGGAGGGTGGGAAGCGGGGGAGCCGCGGGAGGGCAAGGCGCAAGGCAGAAGTCGGGGCGCCTGGGAGAGGTGGGGACTAAGGAGGGACGGCTGGGGTCACCATACCATTCTGGAAACTGGAGGTGGCAGGGGCCCGAAGCAGACGGCAGGGAAGCGGCGGAGCCCTCACTGGACCGGCGGCTGGAGGAACTGGTTCCGTCCCCGCCCCCAGACCTGCTGGCAGGGCCTCGGACTCCAAGGACGCCAGGGCTGTCCTTCTATCTGCCTGTACAAATGTTGCTACCGGCGACTTGGTCCGCTGCTGCGTGGGATATACAGATCTTCCGTCTTCCTCCTGTAGATCACAGCATCTTTCATAGAGTCCATTTCGTACCAAAGGGTGGATATAGCCACGGCCAGAAGAGAAATTTCCTCCGGCGGTCACTAGGCACCCACAGACGTGCGCTGATGTGGCCTAACCTACATGCGCGCCGCGGGGGTGTGGTCAGCCCCGCTGAGGCCCCCGGGTGCCCTAGGAAGGAGCAGGCGCGCCGGTGCCTAAGGGTGCGGGACACCCGGGCCATGGCAGAGGAGGCCTCACCAGAGGATGTTTTTCCATTGATTTTTATTTTTTTCAGAGAGAGTGGGAGAGGAAAGACAGAGAGAAACACCGATGTGAGAGAGACACATCGATTGGTTGACTCCTGCATGTGCCCCGACCAAGGCCTGGGCTGAGGAAGAGCTTCAACCAAGCTCTTGGTTACGTGCCCTTGACCGGAATCGAACCCGGGACCGACGCGCTACCCACGGAGCCACCTGGCCAGGGCTCACTCTGCCTACGTGCGCATGATCTTCCTGGCGCTCTACGTGCTGTTCCTCGGCGACGAGGTGTTCGACGTGGTCGTGTGCGACCAGGTGAGGTGACCACGCCGGGCCTCGCCACGCCCCTTTGCCCTCCTCTGGACCTCTCCGGGTCTGCGGTTCCAAAACACTGCACCTGACCTGGGGAGATGAGAGCTGGGAGTGACTGTAGTTCTCGAACTTCCCATGATGGGGCCTCGCCCTGAGAAGTTTCATCCAGGAGCTCCGAGATGGGGCCCCGAAATCTGCATTTTTCAGTGGCACATCGGTGATTCTGCAGCAGATGGGCCTGGGGGCCAGCTCGCTCTAAGAAACACAAGTCTGGGAGTCAGCCTTCAGTCACTGTTTCCTTTGGAGTAACTCCTATTCCTTCCCTCTTTTCCTTATTCCTGTTGACACTGTTTCTAGGCTATGCGCATCACCCTGTCCCAGCCTTTGCAGCCAGGTCCTGTCAAAACACCAAGCCGAACATGTCACGCCCCGTTAGACCTTTAACGTGGCTCTCCATTAGTCTTCATAGAAAAGCACAAATGCGCTCACTTGGTACAGAATACCCACCTGGATGTGGAGTCTAACTATTCTAAACTCCTTGTCTTCCTCCCACTCACACCCCCCCCCAAAAAATATTTATTTTAAAAAGTAACAATAAAACCTCAAGTAGTATAAAAGTATAATATAATTAAAGTCCCATTCCAGTTCCTCTCCCTAAAAATAGCCACTGTTAAACAGTTTCTCCTATGTCCTTACAGAAATTGTCTATGGCCACACCACCATATGAGTGTCTGTTAAGATATGTAAATCTTCTCTATAATAATCAAAGTGTAATACGCTAATTAGACCAAACGACCTTCCAGCGAAGCTGGGGCTGGGTCCAGGTGCCTGCCAGCGGCCGTAGGGAAGCCCGGGTCCCGGGTCCCGGGTGCCAGAGGGAGGCCCATGCCGGCAGCCGGGGAAGGAAGGCCTATTCTTGCATGAACTTTGTGCATTGGGCCTCTAGTTTGTAATAATTAGTATTATGACATACCTACTATTAGACAACTTGCTTTTTTTTCCGCCAAAAAATTCTATTTGGAACATCCTTATATATCGCCGTAGGGAAGCCCGGGTCCCGGGTCCCGGGTGCCAGAGGTAGTCCCATGCCGGCAGCCGGGGAAGGAAGGCCTATTCTTGCATGAACTTTGTGCATTGGGCCTCTAGTTTGTAATAATTAGTATTATGACATACCTACTATTAGACAACTTGCTTTTTTTTCCGCCAAAAAATTCTATTTGGAACATCCTTATATATCAATATTAGAGATTCACTTAATTCTTCATAGTGGCTGGGAAATCTTTTTTTTAAATGTACAGGTAATTTATATATTCTTTTGTTAAAAGGATACTACATTATGGGTGTTTTTGTGAATAGATCAGTTTTGTAATGAACATCCTTGTACCTTCTTATTGTACTTCTGCAAGTATGTCCTTTGAATAACTTCCCAAAAATAAAATTAATAGCTCTAAGAGTTGTTCATTGTAAATGTCAATAGCTATTGTCAGATTTGCCTTCTAAAGAGGTTGTGTCACTTTACTCTCCCACATGAACAACAGAGCATTTTGCTTCGTGTTCTGGTGCATGTTGGATGTTATCAACCATTTTAATCTTTGCCACACTGATAGGGGAAACGGCATTACAGTTGTATTTGTGTTTCTTTATAACTCTTGAGTTACTTTTGATCATCCTTACTTGTGTGGAAGATACTTCTTTTTGAGAAATGTCGACATTTTCCAAACACCCTGCATGTCTAACTAGTTAATAAGCTTGAGGCAGCTGAGACTGCAGCAGATAGAGAAAAAACTGAGCTTGGAAGTAAGAGACCCGGATTCAAGTTCCATTCATCTGCTACTTTCTAACTAAGTAGCTTTAGAAAGCTCACCTTCAGGTGTTAAGTGAGCTGGAGATTAAGTGATTTGTAAGATTATCCAACAGGAAGTCTAATGCCAGCCTGTAGTTCATGCTCAGTAATGATTATGGTTAATATTTATTGAGCACATACTATAGTGGTTCTCAACCTTCTGGCCCTTTAAATACAGTTCCTCATGTTGTGACCCAACCATAAAATTATTTTCGTTGCTACTTCATAACTGTAATGTTGCTACTGTTATGAATCGTAATGTAAATATCTGATATGCAGGATGGTCTTAGGCGACCTCTGTGAAAGGGTCGTTTGACCGCCAAAGGGGTCGCGACCCACAGGTTGAGAACCGCTGACATACTACATGCTAAATTCCTAAGCATTTTACATATCCCATTGCGTTTAGTAATTATAAAAAACACTAGGTCCGGTGCATGAAATTGGTGCGTGGGGGCAGGGAGGGGGCCCCTCAGCCCGGCCTGCACCCTCTCCAATCCGGGATCCCTCTTGCAATCTGGAACCACTGGCTTGTAACCGCTCAACTGCCTGATGCCCCTAACTGCTCCCCTGCTGGCCTTGTGACTCTAACTGCTCTCCCCTGCTGGCCTGATCCCTCTAACTGCCTATCTGCTCTCGCTGCCAGCCTGATCCCCCTAACTGCCTCTCTGTGCTCCCCTCCTGGCCTTATCACCCTAACTGCCTATCTGCTCTCCCCTCCTGGCCTGATCCCTCTAACTGCCTATCTGCTCTCGCTGCCAGCCTGATCCCCCTAACTGCCTCTCTGTGCTCCCCTCCTGGCCTTATCACCCTAACTGCCTATCTGCTCTCCCCTCCTGGCCTGATCCCCCTAACTGCCTATCTGCTCTCCCCTCCTCTCGCCTTTCGGACCCCCTGCACAGGCATGCTGATAGCTCTCTGCTGCGGCCCTGCCCCCGTCCTGATGGGTTGCTATGTGAAAGTGTCCCACCAATTTGCATATTCCTCTATTATTAGTATAGATGGGCTTTTTTGGTAACCATAATTGCCACCATGTTACAGAAGAGGAAACTGAGGCCCAGAGAGGGGTAGATTACTTGATCATGGTCACACACCTAGCTAGTGGGACTGAGATTCAAACCCTGGCCATCTTGATTCCAGAGACTGCACTCTGAACTCCTATAGCTCATTCAGTGTCTTAGAAGGTGAAATACACTCGAGCTGCTCTGTCCGGTATGGTAGCCACTAGCCACAGGTGGCTGTTGAGCACTTGAAATGTGGGTAGTCTGAACTGATGTGTGCTGTCAGTGTAAAATACACAGGTGATTTTAAAGATTTAATGTGGGGAAAAAGTGTAAAGTATCCCATTAACTATTATAGTATTGATTACATTTTCAATGGTGATATTTTAGATAAAATATATTAACATTTATTTAACCCATTAAAAGTTTTAATGTGGTTATTAGCTTTTCATTTTCATTGGACTGCTTATTCTAGAGAAAAGACTCAGCTTGCAGCTTTAAATGTTTAGCACACACCCAGAGAATGTCTACCAGCCTTTAATACACCAGGTGTTGGACTGGGTGAGAGTCTGTAGCAACACAAAGCAGAATGAGACATTGCCCACGAGGAGCCCGCAGGCTAGTCGGCAGCATGTGTCTGTTCTTTTGATTTACTTGAAGATTAGTTGACCAGTTACTTTACCTGTTTTTTACCTTTGCTTTGGCTAGGTGTCTGCCTGTATCCCTGTGTTCAAGCTGGCCAGACGGCGTAAGAAGATCTTGTTTTATTGTCACTTCCCAGATCTGCTTCTTACCAAGAGGGATTCTTTTCTTAAACGTCTATACAGGGCCCCGATTGACTGGGTAGAAGAATACACCACAGGTATGGCTGACTGCATCTTGGTCAACAGTCAGTTCACAGCTGCCATATTTAAGAAAACGTTTAAGTCCCTGTCTCACAGAGACCCCGATGTCCTCTACCCATCTCTGAATGTTACCAGCTTTGACTCAGCTGTCCCTGAAAAGCTTGATGACCTAGTCCCCGAGGGAAAAAAATTCCTGTTTCTCTCCATCAACAGATACGAAAGGAAGAAAAACCTGACGTTGGCGCTGGAAGCCCTAGTGAAGCTGCGTGGAAGATTGACACCCCAAGATTGGGACAGGGTTCATCTGATTATGGCTGGTGGGTATGACGAGAGAGTCCTGGAGAACGTGGAACACTATCAGGAACTGAAGAAAATGGCCCAGCAGTTCGACCTGGACCAGTCTGTGACCTTCCTGCGGTCTTTCTCGGACAAACAGAAAATCTCACTCCTCCACAGCTGCACCTGTGTGATTTACACGCCGAGCAATGAACACTTCGGCATTGTCCCTGTGGAGGCCATGTACATGCAGTGCCCAGTCGTTGCTGTTAATTCAGGTGGGCCCTTGGAGTCCATTGTCCACAGTGTCACAGGGTTTCTGTGTGAGCCTGACCCCGTGCAGTTCTCAGAAGCAATTGAAAAGTTCATCCATGAACCTGCCTTAAAGGTCACAATGGGACGGGCTGGCAGAGCCAGGGTGAAGGAAAAGTTTTCCTCTGAAGCATTTACAGAACAGCTCTACCAATATGTCACCAAACTGCTGGTATGATCAGATATATTAGAGGGCTTTTTGCTACATTCATTAATATATTATATAGAACAGGGTGGACAAACTTTTTGACTCGAGGGCCACAATGGGTTCTTAAACTGGACCGGAGGGCCGGAACAAAAGCATGGATGGAGTGTTTGTGTGAACTAATATAGATTCAAAGTAAACATCATTACATAAAAGGGTACGGTCTTTCTTTTCAATAGTTTTATTCATTTCAAACGGGCCGGATCCGGCCTGTGGGCCGTAGTTTGCCCACGGCTGATATAGGATGTAGATCCAGTTTTGGAACCATAAAAGAAACCTAGAATCTAGTGCCGAAGAGTTGTTTTTTAAACACATTTGATTTTTTGAATCTGAGCCATTTCCTATACACCACATCTTCCTGTTTCATAAACCAATATCTATTATGCTATAATAATTCTGTCTTACCAGTGTTAATTATAATGTGATACGATTCCATGTGTTAATTATATTTTCTCTAGATTATTGCTGCTCTGAGTATAAATTTTGAGTCATATTGTGCCTTAATTGTTTTAGACAGTTGGTGTGTCATCGTCAAAGTTGAAGAATTTAGCTTCATAACATATTGAGAACAGGGTCACTGTAGTTCCCAGAATCAGGGCACCTGTTCCCTGTCCTCTTGGGAAATGCTGGTTAGCCATAACTTTGCCTGATCCCATAGCAAGGATGCTCTGTATGTTTTGTACAGGACATATTCTTACACACTGAGACAAGTCAATAAAAGATGTTTATCATAGGAAAAGATGGTACAATATTAAATGTTGGCTTCCGTGATCCATACGTAGATATGACAGCCAAGCCTGAAGTCAGAAACTAAGAGTAAACCGGATGTTGAAGTGAAGACGGATTGTTGTCACGCATGTAGTGCTTAGGGTTTATTTCTAATGCCAACTGGTTCATCAGCTCTGTTAATATTTGTGTCGTAGTAAGTAAGTACTCCTAAGTGTGAGGCACAAATGCTTTTTACCCTTCAAGGCTTGCCTCATGCCACTGCTATGGAGCTTACCTTGACCCTCCACCCACCTCCCAGAGTGGAAGTGATCTTGCCCAAGAGCACACAACTGAAAGTGAGTGAGCCAGGACTCAGCCCATGGTTACCTGGTCCATCCAGGACTGCACGTACCAGAATCTCTCTCTGCACCCCTTTAATACCGTAAATGTCCTTTAATACTTCATGGAATTAAAAATTAATACAGTATTCTGAGTCATATCAAAGTGAGGGGACAAGATGCCCTTCTGTCTTCTAATTAATCCTCTGGTCCTAAAAGATCTAATGTCCCGCACCCACTGCTCTATTCCAGCCCCCTGAGAATCACTGCATGAGGCCGATCATTGCCTGCCCTCCCTGTAGCAGACATGGGGTCTTTCAAAGTCCTAGTAGAGCTCCCAGCATCATTTACTTGCATGAAGCAGAAACTCAAACTTAACTCAAAAAGATTTTGAGTATTTGAAAGAATCCAAGCCAGAAAATACAGACATGCTCTAGCTCTCTATCCTTAACAAGAGGACTGGGGGTTGGGTGGGGCTCACAGTAAGGGTGACCTGGCCTTGTTACCCAGAAATAGGACCACAAGCAAATGCTAAAATATCTTGCAGGAAGCGCTACCCCAGGCCAGCCACAGATGTCATTTAAGACAAATATAGTCTAGAAAAGGTGTGTGTGTGTATCTTTTGAGGTTTTATAGGGGCACTAGTGTAGCACAGGTGTGACCTCTCTGGCCTGCCACTCTCCCAAGAAGTCATCAGGCAGACTTAGGACAGTCTGCTATGATGATGAACTCAGATTGGCCTTTGGTTTGCTGTGTTATTTGCCTAGGATTCCAATTTTTGAGAAGGTGTCCTGATGATGATAATCCTAAAGTGTAAATTTCCTTGTCTGTTAAATGGGTATAATCAGGTCTAAGTAGCCCACCCCACAGGGTGTGAAGAAAGGACAAATAGAGTGCAGGAGAGGCACTGCATCAGTATATGAATGATGGAGACAAAGGGTGTGGAGCTGATTTGTAAACTTAGAGTATCACAAACTTGTGAGAGATGAAGGCAGCCTTCCACAGGCCTGGATGAATTGCCCCAGTCTGTTGCCGCCCCAGGGAGGGAAAGTCACACCACGGGGAAACAGGCGGATGGTATAAACAACCTCAATAAGGTGTATTTCCCTCTCAATGCTTAATGCAGTTTCAGGAGTTTTCCCAACGGTCAAGATCGTGAGACTCAAGTAAAGATAAACAAATAGACCCAGCTGACAGAGAGTCCTAAAATAGATCTGCGCATATGTAGTCAATTGATTATTGCCAAAGGTACTGAGATAATTCAATAGGGAAAAGAGAGTCTTTTCAAGAAATAGTGCTGGAATGAATAAACACAGTGTGGTATATTCATACAATGGAACATTCTGCAATAAAAAGGAATGAACTACTGACAAGCACAGTAACATGGATGAGTCTCAAAAATACTGAGTGACAGAAACCAGACACAAAAGAGTTCATATTGTATGATCCCATTAATATGAAACTTTACAGAAAAAATACCTAATCTATAGCAACAGAAAGCAGATCACTGTTTGCCTGTTCTTTGCCTAGTCAGGAAAGAACACAAAGGAATTTTTTTTGGATGATGGAAATGTTTTATATCTTTATCATGGTGGTGGTTACAATGCTGTAAAATTTGTCAGAATTCATGAAATGATGCTTAAAATGAGTGCACATTATTATATGTAAATTATACCTCATACAGTTGAGGTTTTTTAAAGAAGCACATGTGATGTAGTCACATTTTTATAGGAAATAAAAGGTTTTTTTAAATGAACAAATGTCAAAGTATATATGACTATATAATTATAAAAGTTTGTAAGAATGTATAACCAGGTGGTAACATTGATTATAAAAGTTTATACAAGTCTTTTAAGCCTTGCCCTGGCTAGTTTGGCTCTGTGGCTAGAGTGTCACGTACATTTTTATAACATAGCTTTGGACATTTGTGTTTCCAACTATTGCCCTACTTGGGATGTATAATTTGCCCTAATTAATCTTTTATTATTATATATTTAGATTACTCCAACTTTTTGCTACTATAAGCAGCCTAGACAAAAAATAATTGACTTTATATTCTAAAAGCAAATATTTAACATTTTAAAAAGCAAATTTTAAAAACAATAGAAAAAAAAGTGGCATATGACATACGACAAAATTGCCTAGCAGTGCAGAAAAAAAAAAGCAATTTTAAAAAATCACTAACTGATTATGTTATTTTCAAACCAAAGTACCATGTTGATAGCTTGCGTTCAGCCAAACTGTATGCTCCCTTTGCATGTGGAACCAGGAAACCTGATTTATCAATTTAATAGAGGAATACAGTATCATATGTCAGGATGTATATACCATTATTTAAATTTTTTAACAAGTGACTGTATTAGTCAGGACTCTTGGTTGCAAGCTAGAGCTGGGTTTCTGACTAATACAGTTTATAACTGTAAAAGAGAAAAAGGCAGAAAAAAGAAAATGCTTAGGAAGCTATAGGAATAGATCATGCCATGCAAGGAAAAGGTCATACCTGCACCAGGGGGGTGCAGGGCTATGGCTAGTCTTGAGGTTCCAATGGTACCAGAATCCAAAAGCCACCAGAGCAGCATGTTTTTATATAAAACTTCATTGTAGATGAGTTTCTTCCTCTTGCCAGGGAACATGGCAACCAGTAGCAATCGAGACCTCCATCTCACTGTCTATAAGAGGAACCAGCCCACTTTTCCAGAGTTTGAAAAGACAAAAGTGAAGATTCTGATGTCTCCTCTTAAATTAATGAAGCAAGCCAAGGGGCAGGTAGTGTGGTTTCCCTGACACAGGTCAACTCCCATCGACTGCGTTGGACCCAGGATCCCATGGCCCCAGCAGTCCTCTAGCTGGGAGAAAGGAGCCCGGGTGCACAGAGGAAGGATGAGGAAGCAGTTCCCAGAAGAAGGTGACTTAGGCAGATAAAGTAGGTATCCTTTCCAGTATTCAAAGCCATCCCTTCCCACATACCTTTCACCCATTGCGTCCCCTTCCACAATAAATCTTGCTGTAACTATTTAGGATCTACCCTGTGCATTTGACTGGGGATATAGAAATGAAATAGTTAGCAGTTTAATACTCGTTGACTTGTATAAGTCTACATTGCCTGATATTAATATTCCCAAACCTTTCTTTTTGTTCACATTTGAATAATCACATTTCACCCTTGTTTCAATTTTGACTAATTCTTGGGGATGGGAGTTGTCTAATAAACAGAGAAACATTTTTTTTTCAGAGAGAACATATTCATTTGCATAATTAATCCCTGTTGCCTTTATATGTAAATATCATGATTGCATATCAAATTCTGAATCCCATGTTTTTCTTTCAAAGCTTTGTAAATGTTGTGTATCACCTACGAGGGCAGCTTGTCCTATAGTGTGTTCTTGGGAAAGTAGGCTGTGAAAGATGCTTCAGGAAAAAAGCTTCATGGTCATATAAGTACTGGAAATGTTCCCTACAACCGGAAACAGACCTGTAGCATAGTACAGGCCATGCGACATCCAGAGGTAATGGAGAGGCCTTAACTTTATTCCCAGGATATCCAACCTATTTGACCAGAGTAATATTGAAAGAAAACCAATGGCCGATGATAGGGCAATAGTTAACATTTGCTGGGACTTATATCAACTCATTGGATCCCCACAGCAGCTCTGAATGGTTGATAGAATTTTTCAACCCATTTTAACACATGAGGAAACTGAGGCACCAAGAGCTTAATAAAATAAGCTAGAAAATGGCAAATTCAAACCCAAGGTGTCGGCGCCACATGACTCACAGCCTTAGGAGCTGGCAGGTAAGGGCTCAATAAAGGCAACTTCTCTAACTTTCCCAAATCTGGAAAACATAAGGCATCACTGCATCAAAAAGGAAAGGGATTTTTCCACCCTACAGTTCCTGTCACAGAATTTGCCACTGAATTACAGCGAAGGCACTTGGGGGGCGTGTAATCTGATTATTGTCATTGCAAGTGCTCAAACCCTGCTGTTGGCCAACATCCAGGACCCATCACTGAATACTCATCACCTCATCAATGCCGCCTCCTGGACTGACGGGCAAAACAACATCCAAATATTCATTGCACATCTGTGCCAGGCAGATTATACATTAGCAATTCAGATCTGGCCCGTGTACAGGCAGTTTCTGAAAATGTGTCTGTTTGGGTGAGATGCCTCGTTGTCTGGGACGGATAATAAGGCAACTCGGTCTAATCTTGAAGAACAATCAACCCATCTTGCGAAGGTGACTGGCTGTGTGTGTGCTTGCCCTGGCAGCCCTGGAACAATGGCCCCATAATGCACTCGCCTCAGCTGGCAATGAAGTCCCTTCCTGATTAGTAGCCCTGGCTGATGTCAATCACCACGAGATGCACCATTGTCCTCTGGTCCCCAACACAGTTTATTTACAGGAAAACAAAGGCTTTGGGGAGCTATGGCTGCTTCCCAGAGATTGCAAAATAGATTGAGCTGTCAAGCACACAAAGTAGATGAAGATTAATGAGTTGTGCGGACAATAAATATGAGATGACCATGAATATGCTAATGGGCATTATCCATATACACCGTAATTGCTACCAAAATTAAAAGGTGGCATGAAGGGGATGGGTCAGGAGGTGACAGGGAGATAATCTTGGATGCCTGAGACGCTCACCCCAGATAAGACCCTCTACAGGTTTCCTTTCCCCGATTAAACCATCTCTACGCATCATTGTTCACAAGCTGTCTGAATAGGCTCCTTTCACACAGGGATGTAAGGGAGAGGTGAGGGGGGACTGGAAAGTTACTTTAGGAAAAGGTGTAATTAGAATAAGAAAGGTGCTTATCAGAGGCAAGAAGTGGCCAGCTGTCAGGCTCCCGCCTCATCCCCTGGGACAGAACTGAAGAGGGATGTCACTTCAAACTTCAGACCCCTTCCCACCCCAGAGCCACAAGGATTATTATAAACACGAGAATGTTACTTAGATCACTGTCAGGGAGGAGCAAGTGATTTTTCAAAGTATTTGGACACTCTGATGATTTTTTTTTTTAAGATAAACTTAGAGCAATTTGAAGAACACAATGTTTAAAGGAGAATGACATTTTGTTTCCATGAATGATTTGATTTGGGGAAATCTATATATCCGTAGGACCCTGGCATGACTGAGTCACCCCCAGGCATTCTCCGACCCCATTCACACTCTTACTTCTTTTGTACCCTCTTTGACTTGTTGATATAAGTCTGTGGGTGGAGGCAAAGTTAGCATAATAACATACTGAAGCAATGCTGGGGCCGTAAGCACTAGAAAGAGAAAGCCTCTCTTGTTTCATAGTTTCTCTCCCCTCTCAGGACGCAGGACGGGAACCTGGACCTCATCCCCCAGGGGTCTGTGGAGCAGGAGCATCACCCCTGATGGTAAGGGGTCACCTTCGCTCCTGCAGGACAGAGAGCAAACACATATTCTTGGCCTCCACCGGGTGAAGGGGAGCAGGGTGAAACCAGCGTGTCAGGAAGAGGGCAGGAGGGTAGAAAAGAGGAAGGGAGATCCAGAGAAAGAGGGGGTCCCAGAGACTGACTCCATACAGGCTGAAATCCACCTCACGGCGGGAAGAAAAGAATTTTTCACAAACCTATGAAACAACCTCACCGAAAGGGGTGGGAGGACAAGGTGCTGCCCCAAGTAATTGTGGAAATTGGTGTGTAAAACTAAAGGCAAAGGAACGGCCCACGAGCACTTCATTCTAGTTGACAAGTTGTTCCCCATGAGGGCAAGGGTGAGGAGTCCTGAAACCACTCTACCTGGGGTGTGGGGTTGGACAACGAAATGTAAACGGATGGCAGAGCATGGGAGCCAGGTTTCTCACGGTTGGAGTGGGATTCACAGGTGAGCAGGGGATGAGGCTTAGAATGATGGAATCTGGGGAGATGTTAACGCAG